AACTCGTGAGACAATTTTTTGTATTTCTTTAAGACATGGGCTTCCAGGAATCCCTTCAATTAGTCTACTGGAATCTTTTACAACCATTCCGAGGGCTCCAACTACAACAAGTATTGTTGATGTTCCCATGTGCCACATTTTTGAGATTTCGATTTCAAGGTCCTTGTATTTTGATAGCTTTTTGAAGAATTAAAACATACATTGCAGTCTTCAGGGACTGCCATATCAATTAGAAGGCACTTTTTTGTTTGCGATCTCTAATAATAATGTCTGGTCGATTATTATTATTGTTATTATTATTATTATTATTATTATTATTTCTTTTGATTTCTCTTTTATACTCATTTCTGTTCCGGTTCAAAAGACTTAAGGTCGGAAATGATATCATGACATTTTCCTCTGCACACACACACACAAAATATATATATATATATATATATATATATATATATATATATATATATATATATATATATAATATCAAATCATCACACACATTTTACATAGAATAAGAACTTCTTAAGGTATTAGCTGTACTTGTAAGAGCATTTTTTTTGTATTTCTTTAAGGCAAGGGCAACCAGGAATTCCTTCAATGTTTCTATCAGAATCTTTTCCAATCAATCTGAGGGCTCCAACTACAACTGGAATTATTGATGTCCTCATATGTCACATTTTTTAAGTTTTCACTTTAAGATCCTTGTATTTTGATAGTTTTTTGAAGATCTTCAAAGATACATTACATTCTGCAGGAAGTGCCACGTCAATAAGAAAGTACATTTTGTTTTTTGAGGTCTGGGCGATTAGCTTTGATTGTCCTGTCTGTGTTAAAGGCCCATAAAATGATTACAGGTCCTATCTCTGTAACTGAGTCTGGGTGATGTTAACGCCAATTTCTTGCAGTTTCCTTCTGTAAAAGTTGCATATTTTCTAGTTCTGATAATGTCCCACTCTATTATATCGAGTTTTATATACGGTGGATGCTAAAACCGTGAAACCTGATACAAGATGGTCAATTTGTTTCAGGAGATTATTATTTACAAAATAAGCAACGCGTGTACATAGATTTGTTTCCTATATATTTGTACCATTGTTTGATGTATAACCTGAAGAAGACAGACGTTCTGTCGAAATATAGTTAGCTATTTCACTTCTGAGATGAGTAATTGTCTATATTGTATTATTTCGAATTATTGTTCTGATCTTGGTTGATATACAAAATATCAAAATAATCAACCCATATCAGTCAATCAATGGCCACTTGATGATGACCAGACGGTGCTTGGTCGAAACGTCGTGTTCATAATAACATCTCTATCAACCAAAATGAGAACAACAGTCCATAATAATATATGAATATTAACAATTACTCATCTCAGAAATTAAATATATAAAAAAAAATATCGAAATGTCAGAACTATCTGAATATATTAGGCTCCAAAAACTCACGATAAATGGACGGTGGCATAGTGGATATAGTAGTTGATTATATGTGTTACTGTCTTCTCGTGGTCATGAGTTCAATCCTTGAATCTGGTAGTGTCGCACAATTCAGCAGGAACAAACAATAATGGATATCACAGAGACAAAATATCACTATAATCAATAGATATCCCTTATCAGCCAATTGATGGACATCTGATGAGAACCAGAGTGTACTTAGTCGAAACGTTGTGTTTACAATAACATCTATATCAACCAAGATGAAGACAGTAGTTCAAAATAATGCAAGTATCTTAACTTTCTATACTGCAAATATACCATCAGTATCCCTGCAAAATAACTGATATCACATCGACAAAATATCGCAATAATCAAGAGATATCCCATATAAGCCAATCAATAGACACCTGATGAGGACCAGATTGTGTTTAGTCGAAACGTCTGTATAATAGTATATATATAATAGTATCAACCAAGATGAGGATAATAGTTCGAAATTATACAAGAATATATGTAAAACTTTGTGTCTTTTCTGGAAATGTGTTATTATTATTATTATTATTATTATCTTTGACACGTGTTTTCGTTTTCAACCGGAGCTCTTGCATTATGGGTGTTCTATCGTAAGATAGTTATTACATTTAATAGAATATTTGCAGTTCCAAGTAACGCAGACTTCTGAAGCGATGCGACACTAGGCTTTATTTAGATTTTCTTTACGTAAGATTTTAAGTTCGGTCGTATCGATCTCAACGCCCCAAATGATAACTGGGAAAATGGTAGTCTGGACGTCCTACATTCTCTCAACTTCAGTCCGGAGGTCGGTGTATTTCTCAAGCTTGTAATTTCTTCGTCCTTAATATTTTGGTCCCCAGGAATAGCCACATCGACGAGGAAACTTTTTTTCAACGATGGTGATGTTGTCTGGATTGGTGGCTTCAAGGATGCTGTCTGTTTGGATGCTGAAATCCCACAAGATTTGAACTTGGTCGTTTTCGAGCATCATCTCTGGCTTGTGGTGGTAATGTTTCTACTTCCTGCATCGGCACCGATGCAAGTGGAAGGCCATTTTATCATGGCAGCGCGTGTCTTCTTTCTACGCAAGCATTCCACAGGCGCTAATGATGTGGCTGACATTTTCCACACAGTTTGAACTTGTCTCAGTCCACTTTTTGATAGATTTACTTCCAGGCAGAATTCAGGGATTATTACTATTATTATTGTTAGAATGAAGTTAAAGCTTGATGCAAAAGCAAATACGAAAATAATTGAATATTAACAAAATCTCAGAAGAAATAAAACTTTTGCTTTTTTTCTACTTTACCCTTTTTCGGTAACGCAATCTTTCTATCGTCGGTGTTCAAGTGTAAGCGAACTTATTTTGAACGCTAAAAGCAAGCACGTCTTTTCCTGTTGAAATAAAGGAATCTTATCACACGTTAAGAGGTTTGTACACAGGGCCGGCGTGTCTTATCCCCGAAAACAACGACCAGTAGAGGGTGTGTGTGTGTGTGGGGGGTCCCGTTGTGACCTCTGCCATTTTTTTCAACACTGTTTTATGATCATCCGCCATTTTAAAAATTATTTTTTTAAGCCGACGTTACATTGTCAGTCATCAGTTAATAATACAAATCATGTATCTGCATGGCCGGTGCAGTGGGTACAACGCAGGAACCCCCGCCGAGGTTGGAGCCCTAAAAGGCTAGTTTCAACAGTGTTTATTTTTTTGTTTTTTGCTTTTTACTCTTTTCTACCTAAGTTATGTTGTCAATCAACAACTATAATAATCGACAGGGCCGGTACTTGCTACTCCGAACCTCTGAACCGTGTGGGGGCCCATGCCTGCTGGGGAGGGGAGGTAGAAGTGCTAATTTCAGGTGAGCTTATTTTTTATAATTGTTTTTTTTTCTTTCTATACAGTTCTTTTAACCCTAGAACACTAACCATCAATTAAAGTTACACTACTACTAACCATGGGTATATCATACCCGATTTTGAAAATATCAAAAAAATGTTAAATATAAATATAATTTATTTGAAATATTTTACATGCAGTCACTTAAAACTTTGTACTTTGAGTTAATATTACTAGGCACTGAAAAACATATTATTTAGGTAAGAAAATCAGGTACTGAAAATTTTAATTAAAAATAGGAAAATTTGCGCTGGGTATACCCATGGTTAGTATTCTATGGTTAAATCAGTTAAGAGGGTAATATATCTCGGTAAAATCAATTTTTATTCCGAGATCATTTACTAATAGTAATACTAATCAGAAGTTCACGGCTACTAATTAAAATGAAGTTTCTAGTCCCTATTTTTTTTACATTTCTAGAAAGATAAAACCGAGAGAATGATCACTGAAAAAATAAAAATGTTTAAAGATTTCAACACATGGCAATTTTTCCCGAAAACTGAAATACTGTTTTTAAAACAAATTTTTAAGACAATCCCATTTGTGTTGTGTTGGAATCTTAGTAAAACTTTTTTTTTCAGCGACGATTAATCTTTATGGAAATGTAAAAATTTGCAACGTAAACATTTTTCCGAGTAAAATTTAATCATGAAAATATTGGTGTTTATTACAAAAAGAATAACATTTTCTCAGATTTAAAAAAAAATAAAAAGACCTGTTCATTATAAAAGTAAAAAATGAATATGTACTGAATTTTTCATTTAAATTTGATACTTCCCTGATTTATGGTAAATTAAAAAAGAAAAAGTGTTGCCCTTCCCTCCCAACTTCCTACCCACTGTCCTATGCTTCTACTTCCCTTCTTGCTTCTTACTCTCTGTCTGCCTCTACTTTCTCTCTTCCTCTTACTCTCTTTCTGAACATTTTTTTAAAATCAATTAAGAATGTAATGTATCTCGGTAAATTTATTTCTTATTCCGAGATCACCCACGAACGAGGATCTCGGATTTTTTTTGACTAATGATAATACTAACCGGAAGTCCACGGCTAGTAATTAAAATAAAATTTCTAGTCCCTATTTTTTTTTACATTTCTAGAAAGATAAAACCGAGAAAATGATCGCTTAAAAACTAAAAATGTTTAAATGGCAATTTTTTCCGAAAACTGAAATACTGTTTTTAAAACAAATTTTAAGACAATCCCGTTTGTGTTGTGTTGGAATCTTTGTAAAAAAAAAAAAATTTTAGCGGAGATGCATTTCTTTAAGGAAATTTCGACATTTCTAAATTAAATATTTTTTCGAGTAAAATTTAGCCATGAAAATATTGGTGTTTATTACAAAAAGAATAACATTTTCTCAGATTAAAATAAAATAAAAAGAACAGTTCATTATAAAAGTAAATAATTAATGAATATGTACTGAAATTTTCATTTAAATTGGATAATTCCCTGATTTTTGGTAAATTAAAAAAAGCGCCGAATTTACCCACAAAGGTTTGTAGTCCACAGGTTCGGAAACTTTGAAATCTTTCTCGTCGCCCTCTCTACTTTTCTTTTCTTCACTTTCTTCTCTCTCTCTCTCTCTTGTCTCTTAGTCTCTTTCCATTGGGTATGTGCACAGAGGTGTGTAAACGTACTCTGATTTATGCGTGTGCGTGTTCGTGTGTGAGGGCGTGCATTGCAAGAAAAATATGACCGAAAGAAAGAGGCGAATGAAAAAAAGTGTCCGAATGAGAGAAATTGAGAAAAAAAGAAAAAGAAAAAAAGAAAAGAAAAGGCACATCAAAGATAAAAACAAAGATTAACGAAAAAAAATGAAAAAAGAAAAAGGAAAACAAAAATGGGAAAAAGAAAATGGAAAAATCATCGCCCGGTCTAAAGAATGAAAAGAAAGAGAGAAAAAGGAAGAAGAAAAAACGTGACAATGAAAAGGAAAGAAAGAAAGATACATATGAAGAAAAAACGAAACAAGAGAGTGCCCCGCCCCAAACAAAAATAAACGATATAATGAAAACGAAGGAAAGATAAAAGAGAGACACGCATGAAGAAGAAAAAAAAAAAGAAACAAGAGAGAACCCCTCCTAAAACAAAAGGAAAAAGAAAAGAAACGAGATAATAAAAACGAAAGAAATCTGAAAGAAAGACACAGAAAAAGAAAAAAAAAAGAAACAGGGGAAGAACCTCCACCTACCCCACAAAAAACAAAAACAAAAAAGAAACAAGATAATGGAAACGAAAGAAAGAAGAAAGAAAAACACTCATGAAGAAGAAAAAGAATAAGAGAATATCCCCCCCAACAAAACCCCAACGCCCAAAAACAAACAAAAAAAAGAAAACGAGATAATAAAAATGAAAAGAAGGAAGAAAAACACCCATGAAGAAAAAAAAAGGAACAATAGTGTAACCAAAAAATAAAATAAAGCAAAAAAAAAAACAACCTCCTCCACAAAAAATACAGAAAACAAAATACAAAAAAAAAAAAAAAGAAACGTAATAATGAAAATGAAAGAAAAAAGAAAGAAAGACATAGATGTAGAAAATAAAGTAACAGGAGAGTACCCACCCTAAAAAAAGAAACAAATAAAAACAAAAAAACAAAAAGAAAAAGAAGCGAGATAATGAAAACGAAAAAAAAAAAAAAAAAAAAGAAAGAAAAGAAAAGAAAGAAAAGAAAAGAAAGAAAAAACGCTCATGAAGAAAAGCAGGAACAAGAGTGTAACATCCAAAACTCCAACTCCCCCCCAAAAAAACAAACAAACAAACAAAAAAGAAAACAAGAAAATGAAAAGAAAAGGAAGAAGGAAGAAAGACACTTATGAAGAAAAAAGGACAATAGATTACCCACCCCACAAGATAAAATAAAGTAAAAAAAAAAAAAAATAAAAAAAAAGGAAACGAGAAAATGAAAATGAAAGAAAAAAGAAAGAAAAACACACATGAAGAATATAAAGAAACAGGAGAATATTCCTCCCCATCCACCAAAAGAAACAAATAAAAACAAAAAACAAAAAACTAAAACAAAAAAGAAACAAGATAATGAAAACGAAAAAAAGAAGAAAGAACGACACACAGAAAGAATAAAAAAAATCACTGCAGATTAAAAAAAAAAAAAAAAAGTCCTAAAGAAAATCAAGGCCCGTAACTCTGCAACGTCAACCTCAAACAAAAATCACCAGATCGCACAAATGATGAAATAAAAGACTAAACACAAACGTAGCATACTCCCCTTGGCCGTCCTACCGTTTTTAGCCATTGATCTAACACACAATCCCAACAACACCATCTTCTTTCTTCCCATCACCTCGAAATCCTCCTTCTCCAATTCTGACAATACATTTATTTAGTTATTGTTACTTTCTTTATGGCTTCTTTCTCTTTCTCTTCCTTCTTTTTCTCTCTTTTCATTTACACCGCCTCCTGGTCCGCCATTCTCCCTGCGCTGCTCAAACTCGTCACAAATTATGATCGCCATTCATGGCGCGTTGTTGTTGTGAGGCTCGCTTCGAAAAGACCTGATTGATCTGCGAAGAACGACCGAAATCAGGACCTCGAGGCCGACGAAAGGAAGATTAATGGAAACACATTGTGGAATTAGAAGCGATCAGAAGATTTCGCATGAAAAGATAAAAGACAAATATAAAATTATATTATATACGTTTGGGTTTGAGTACGTTATGTATAAATTTACGCAGAAAGGAATGCATGCGTACACAAACACACACACAAACATATATATATATATATATATATAGAGAGAGAGAGAGAGAGATAGAGAGATAGAGAGAAAAGAGAGAGAAAGAAAAGGGGTGTGAGGGAGAGAGTAGAGGGAGAGAGAGAGGGGAGAGATGGGAAAGGAGGAAGAGAGGAGAGATTCATTTATGTTTAATCACTTCCATATGTATATGCATATATATATATATATGCATATATTCACACTTACATCTTCCATTTAATGAAATCGTAATTCCCTGTCGTATATCTCTATGAACATACAATTACACTCGCGCGTGCGCGCGCGCGCACACACACACACACACACACATACATACATACATAGACACACACAGACACATGCACTGGGAGTAGATAGGTTCGCCTATTGTCCAGTTCACACGCCTCCCCGGTCTTTTGAACAGGAGTAGAGGTTTATCCTTTGTTCTCTGTTTAGGCTTGGGTTTCCGGTTTCTTTTGAAGTCTTCTAATTTTCTTTCAATCCATTGCGTCTTAGTGGCGTTATCGCCTTGCTTGGGAGGAATTGATTAAAAACACACACGCGCGCGCACGCACACACACACACACACACACACACACACAAGTATACACACGCACAGGAATGCACGCGCGCGCTCACACACACATACGCGCGCAATCACGCAGGCACACACGCAGGCACACACGCATATAACTTTTAATTAAATTCTGACAATTATGAAAAAGAAATTACTAAAAAATGAATTGGTTCACTGCGTAGTGTTAGACTATTTTTTTTTCCAGAATCTATCTTACATATCTATAAGTCTACTATTCGTCCATGCTTAGAGTATTGCTGCCACATATAGTCCGGTGCTCCTGTTATAGATCTAGAGATTCTTGTTAGAATTCAAAGACGAATTAGCAATATTAGTCACATTCCCACCACCGTAAAGTTGCCTCTCTGTGTCTTTTCTATAAATATTTTCATGTTAATTGTTCGGAAGAAAACTTCTTTATGGCACTTATGGGGACTAGTTAGGATTTTCATAGAGACAATGAGGTATTATGGTGAATGTAGTAAGAAAGGTTAGTAAGAATGCGTTGTTATGGTGTAAGGAATATTGTTGTATGTTTGGGTTAGTGTTTGTGGCTAGCTAAGTTTAAAGTTAAGACAGAAAAAGACTGTCCTTTTCCCCACTCCCCATTTTTGGCTGTGTGCCGCGTTTTCTGTAAATAAGCACAAATAGATATCGTTCTTCACTATGGCACCTAGACTTTATGAATTTAAGCATCGTACTAGACTGGCAACACGGTTTCATTAGTCGACAGTTGAATTGGCTCTACGTAGCCGCAAGTTCTCTGTTAACAGTTCCTTTTCTCACACATAATGTTATTATTAAACTTTCAAAGTATTTTCTCCTTAAAGAATTATTTCATGGCATTAGTAAAATCACGTGGTCTAAAAACCTGCATCTATGTGCACAAAGGAGAGTTGCATTTTAGAAAAACTTAACTCTTTCGTATGACACAGGAACAAAGGTGGCCATAACTTTGAATTTACTAATAGCACACCTGGGTGGATATAAATACCCAATATCACCGAACATCAATATCGCCGCTGTGTATTTACTTCATTGTCATATATATATATATATATATATATATATATATATATATATATATATATATATATATATATTAGGAAATGGACAAACTTCGACAATTATTTAAGACATAATTTATGTTTATACGTTCTATTTTATAGATACAAATATTTAAGTAAATACTCAGTATTAACAACATTTACCGGCCTGAATGTCCGAGAAATTTTCATAGAAAATATGTGTTCTTCGACAGGAATCGAACGTGTACCCTATACGGAACCGTCATATAGCCTGACGTGTCTTAACCGATTGGCCACAGAGGAGCGTTTGGCTAGCAAGGTCGATTTTACTGTTTTTAAACCACAATTCTCTATAATTTTCTCTCATTCATTCATATCTGCTCAACACATATGAAAATGTAAACAAATGACGTCATACATTATGAAATGGACAAAGTCCGACAATTATTTAAGATACTTTTTATGTTTATACAGAGGAGTGTTCGGTTAACAATGTCGTAATATATGACATCATTTAAGGCGCGTCAGGCTATATGACGGTTCCGTGTAGGATAGAGGTTCGATTCCTGTCGGAGGACGCATATTTTCTATAAACAGAGCATTTACTTAAATACTTGTATCTATAAAAAGAACGTATAAACATAAAAAATGTCTTTATATATATATATATATATATATATATATATATATATATAATAACGCACCGCTCTTCATTAATGAATTGAGCACTCTGGCTGCTGGCGTTTGTATACATACGTATATAATATGTTAAAATTTCTTTTTTTCTGCTGTGCGCCGATAGCTTAGGGGAGGATCTCTGACTGATGAAGCAATCGGATGTCTATCCACACTGATGAGCCGTGATACATCGAAACTTGTATATATATATATATATATATATATATATATATATATATATATATATATATATTAGTCTATACACTGGAGTTGAATAAGACGGATGTAATTCTCGTTGGTTGAAATAGATCTATACCCCTCCCTCATATGATGTAATTTTGGATTTTGTTGTGTAATTTATATGCTCTGTTATAATAAATACATTGAACTCTTTTTGTGGATCAGTTTTAATATTTGATATTACCTGGAACACATATCAACGGATTTACTACTGTACGATGTGAAACCTAGGGTCACAAACTCGCATCAATCCAAGCAAATATGTTAGCACTATTTCTGATATTGAGCTCTTTGATAAAAATGTGAAAATCTTAGATCGTGGACGAGATTAGGGAGAACGAAAATGATAGTGATAAGTACCGCGCATATAATATATAAATAATATATATATATATATATATATATATA